ACAGCACAAAATATCAAACATGAACAAACTGTGGGAAGAATAAGCACCACATATTAAAGATCAGATTTTTGTTTTATATTTAATGATCAATCAATTAAAAAAAAATAAAGCAGATTAACTGAAAACTAAAATAATCATTATTTGTACCCTTAAAAAAGGTCCAGTGTGTAAGATTTACGGTAGTGTATAGTCACCATTTTTATCTACAGAGGGAGAGGGTCCATCATGTTGAACTGCCATCTTTTACGTTTCATGGTCACTGTAGTTTCTGGTATTCAGATGGTGGCAATCTGCAACTTCACCGCTAGATGCCACTAAATCCCACTCACTGATCCTGCAAACTGTGATGGATATGGCTGCAGACAAGGAATTTGAATAAACTGCACTCATAAGCTATAGGTTAATGTGCAGAGACAGTCCAAAATGGCCGGCCCATTGTGCAGACACCAGTACAGACTCAGCTGTCTTGGCAAAGTTTCACTTTAAGCTGAACAAGAAAACGTCTCTGGCAACTGCCAGTGTATATAGATTTCATTCATTATTTTATACTGTCTTCTTTATGAATCTGATTGACTCCACAAGGAAAAGCAACTAACATAAAATACTTGAGTGAGTTAATCTTTCATACTTGGCTTTGGTTAAAATATATATTTGTACACTCCACGTGCCAAACTAGGTTGGCTTTTCTTTGCCAGTTTTTGGTTGCATAATTTAAATTTCTATTTGTTCCCACATATATTCTTCATGCTAATTTGTCAGTTGGATGTTTTTCCTTCAGAATTGTCTTCAATCATAACAAGGCCATTGATGAAATTACGCAACACTCATGGAGTTATTTTCTATGCTTTCATGAGAATTTCCCTGCAGCTAAATAGTTCTCAACCACCATTCAACAAAAAGTCAATTCATCAAATCACTAAGATGTGTGGTAGGGAAAACCACCAGTCAGACAATTTCATTGGGTTTCTGTTCATGCAGGCACCCTGTGGCTCTACATGTTTGACACAAATCAATCAATGTAACCATCTGAAGATTTCCACCCTCATCAAAGGGCCATTCAGTCTCCTCTGAAGTTCAGAGGAGCCTAAACGCCGCCATTAGTGACAGCGCTACTGACGAGATGGTGAGAGGAAGCGGCGGGAAAGGAAGTAATGAGCACAGGTGTGAATGCTTCCTCAAGGTGTCTGGTTTTACAGACAGGGCCGTTGGTTGGCATTTGTCTGAACTCAGTTCTCATGGTGACACATTTGAGAGGATCATTTTGAAATGCAAAGTAGACAACGAGGGTTACTTGCTTTGAAGAGCAACATTATCTTTCCCAACCAAAGATTAACTTTGGCCAAAGTCTTGGTGGAAAAATGTACCTTAATATTTGGTTGTGACGTGCAGTTTCTCATAAATGCAGCTATGTGTCGAGGCTACACCAACACAAACCACAACAGCTGTGACTGGTCAGCTACTGCTCATATGTTCTACTACATATTTCCAACGCTGGTGGAGATCGTCTCCCTTTCAGTATCATCTTGGCAAGCCACCTCAAACCATCTTGTGAATGTACAAACATAAACATAATTACTTCTTTGTGACTGCATGGCAATAGTCTCGTGTTCAGTTTCTAGAAACAAATTCATCATCTAGCTACCTAACTAAGTCATTTACAGTTCAAACCCTCCCATCATTACTCTACGTCAAAACATGTTTGAAGAATTACTTAAGGTGTACAATAAATCCATGGCACAGCCTGATCATTCAGGGTACGTTCATTTACTGTTACAGCGGTGTTACGGCAAATCTACAGAGTGAAATCCTATGCCGAACTATAAATCAGTTTCTATTTTGGATGCAACTATGGCGGGACCACCAGAACATGTTGACAGAGAAGCATAAATCTGGTTTTCAACAGCAGTTTCAACATCTGTGTGGTGAGCTAGAGCACAGGAGTTCCAATTATTCCCATCTGCCAAAATAAACCAAAATTAAAGAGTAACTGTTCCAGGTTATTAAAAAAAATCACCCGAAACACACTTGGTGTGAACAGACCCTAAAGTAGCACGAAGTGATCAAACGTGCCTCTACAAGACATGTCTATGTTATCTGACAGTTTTCTTGGCACATCTTTGTAAGGTCTTTCTCAATCAAGAATTGAACACATATGGGTCTTTGACAAAATATAAACGGTTTCAATCATTATCAACAGCTGAGAGTACAAACCCAAAATGAAACAAACAAGAAGACAAAGGACAGGCAAAGACAGTAAAAGTTTAGTTTCCAACCAGAGATCATATGACTGACAAAGTGAACAACACAAAACACACCTGGATGCTGGTTGGAGTTTTGATTTGCCACTGACAATACAAGGCAAATAGAGGACCCGTTGTTATAACCTCCAGCCTCGAGTCCTGATATCAAATATGAGACGGCAGTTGTATATAAGCAGTCAAACGTTGGCCGTAGGGATGCTAACTGAGGCTTTGTGTTGTTCTATTCACCCAGGAACCAGTGACCCGTCTCTGGTTCCCTAAGGTGACTGAAGGACTGTCACCAGGTGTGTATAGGTAATGAAATCAGTCCCCGTGGGGGAAGGGTGATGGAGGAACAACACGGGACTGGTATCAGTTCACTTCCGCCTTTTTCAGCTCTCTGCCTCGGAGATTCTAGGTCAGTAGTGGCTTTTTAAAGATTTGATATGTGCCTCTTAGGAGTTTGGTGCTGCTAAATAGGTCTGTAATGGCGCCTGACACTCTTAAAGAGGAGCTGTCCATTTAGATACTAGTTTGAGATGTAATACACTTGGATTAGTTTAAACACATTGTGGTTATAACTATACATGAATACATATCAGGTTGTTAGTAAGATATCAAGAGTTGAAAACATCCCAAAAATACTAGTCTTAAACTATATGTTTTTATACACTGTTTAGAGCCTGAAAGAAATACTGTTTTTGTCTTCTTGGTAATACTGAGGTCAAGTTGCAGCAATGAGAAATATGACTGTTTGATGCACTAATGCACTAGTGTATAACACTATGAATAATAACTGGAACAATCTAACCAGTATGTAGTGTGGCGGATAAATGATAATTAACCTTGCAAGGCAGCTGGAGATCACACAATCACAAGATCAAGAATCCATCTTGCCGGGCTAAAAGCGAAATGTGTCTGTTCAAACCACAGCGGGTCAGCCAATCAGCATCCTGTGAGGAACTACTGGCAGCTACGGCATGAGCTACTGGTGGCATTTAACACTAGGTGTGTGTGACATGTGTGAAAAGTGACTGCTCGAAAACAACAAATAGCGGCTGCTGAAAGGGTTAGTGTAGATGCTGCTAGAGAGTATTTCTTCATTGAAAGAGGAGCAAAGAAGGCTTCTGTCAATGGAAAAGGTGTATTCGCTCTTCTCCGGACTGGCTTCAGTAAGAGTTTGAATACGTTATATGGCTCATTTGATTGGTTGAAGTTTGCTCGTGACGGCCGGTGATAGACAGATGGTTCATCCAATCACCTGCTGAGTATTTATTAAAAGTCTCCACCCTGTTGCCAACAAGTACTTTAATACTGGTACACTAACGTTTACTGTATATCTTCTACTTAATGTGAGTTATTTTTTTTAACAGGTTTTGGTAGAAAACTGCACACTGTATAGAATTGAACGTTAACTGAGAAAAGGAAATGAAATGTGAAAAAGGTTTCTGTGCACAGACCATAAACAATAGGCTACAACAGTAATTAGCTTTATTGAGTGTGCCAATTATTTTCTCAATGAATCATTTGGTCTGTAAAACACTGGAATGTATGAAAAAATGCCAATCACTTTTTCCCAGGGCGCAACAGTTCAACAGTTTAAGAATTAAAAGAATTCAGCATTATCTTAGAAAATTAAGAAAACAAGAAAAGAAATCCCCTTTGACAAGCTGAAACCAGACAGCTTCAGAGAACAGTTTGAATGATTAACATCATAATTGTTTCTTTCTGTTGTCTTTTTAAACCAAGGATGATGATTAAAGTGTCGTTGGAACAGCTAATCAAGCTCATGAGGCCATGCGTTCAACATGTCTATGATTAGTGAAATGTAAATGGAGAAGAGTTGCGGGGGGCCCACAGTCCTCCCCTCCCATGAAGAGGCCCCATAATCCTTACCAACACCCCTGCTATATTTTATAAAAACGCTTCGTGGGCTTCAGATCAGATTTGTAAGCCTTTATGTAAACCTGCAAAGTTGAGACTGTATTCCACCAACATGCAACAGATCATCAACCAGTCATCAGTGTTTTTAAGGCTGACAAGAGGACAGCCCACTGCAGGATGACAAAGTCAAATACAACGGGGGCTGGCAAGTGTCGTGATTGAAATTCTCCCAGAACAAAACCTCGTTTGTGTGATTATTGTTCGCCAGGCTCGCAATGAGGCAAAAATCCATTCCACATGATGCATTCATTGTTTTCAGCCAAACACGCACCAGGCCCCACGGCAGCCACAGCTACTGTACAATGGCCCTCACCAAAAACAACGGAAAGCCTACTGCAACATTTAGGAGGGTCCGGTACAAATATCTGCACCATCCTTTATGGATATTCCACTATTATTGTGGTTAGGGTGTGACATCAGAGGTTATAAATGTAACTTTATAAACTCAGTATTGAGGTTCTCTTTTGTAAGTGATCATAAGACCGTTGTGTTGCAGAGCATTTAAATAGCAATAAACTCAACATGTGTGCAATAAATGCATTACTAAGAAACAGGCACACTGTATCCCACCACATTACTATTTCATAAGAACATAAGTGTGTTTTCTTCACAGTCAGTCAGATTGTTGCAGTTTGAGTCACCTTTCAACAGGTGACGAAGCAATAAAATCCAACTGCCGTTTAAAGGAGAAGGAGCAACAGATACAGGCTGCAAACCAGTAACTAAGGCCACATAATGACAACACAACACCTGCGCCAAAGGGAAGCAAAGTGCTCTGGAGTTCAGACAGTATGTGGAGTCTGTGTTCCTACTCACCTCGATCCATTTCTGCGCCTCCTGAAACGCGGAGTCTGCGGCCGACTCGGTCACAGGGTGATGCTGATGAGACGGTCCTATGTCTGAAACCGGACTTGCCATTGGCGAAGAGGCTCTGCTCTCCAACTATTGAAGCCTGTAGTAATGTGTAACAGCAGCTCGGTGCCGCGTTATTCCACCACAATGTCTCTTGAACCGTGTCGGTCAGCCCGTTCTCCTCCGTCGGTTGTAGGTGTTGCGGCGGCAGCAGCAGCAGCAGCAGCACCGGCGAGGCGAACGAACCAGCTCCTGCTCTCCGGTATCCTCCTGCTGGAGTCTGTGGGCAGGCAACAGAGTCAAGTTAGCTACAGCCACTCACAGGGCTTCCGGTGTGACGGCTCAAAATAAAGGTTTTAGTCCAGCAACAAACTGCATAACTGGGGGGGATTTAAATATAACACACATACATTCCAGTATTACAGTTAATACAGTAAAAATAAACCTTGCTAGGATTTCAAGATCTTTTCAGCTTTCTTTGAGGTAATTTCACTGAAAACTGAAAACTCTTGATTTAACTAACATTGGCTAACTTAACAATAACGTAGCACCGTTAATTGACAAGTTAACAGGAAGGTGGAGCTTTAGGAATCATTAGTTAACTTACACCTTTAAAGCTTAAACGGTACAAAGGACACTTTGAAGCTGTAAGGTTCAACTGGAGGACGATGGACATAAGAGAAGGTACAGGTAACACCTGCAGGCTAATACGTTAGCATTAGCTAACACAGTTTGGCTATCCAACCGATTCAATGACAAACATTTACAAACAAAACGTTGTGCCTTAATCATTTCTACATCTGAGTTAACTAAGACTTTAAAGTTACTAAGAAAGTGAGCTGGATTAGCTAATGATTGAGTTAACACTGGAGTCACATACATCAGTGGGTTTGTCACATAAGTTCATTCAGTGGAAGTGAATGTGTCTTTATTTTGGCACAGACCAACACATTGCATCATTATTTACACATTTTGAATGAGCAGAGAAAATATGAACTTACACACTAAAACACAAGATTAATTAAGAAAAGTGGATGTAATAGTATATATATAATAGTATAATTTGGTACTTTGTACAGGAAGAAGATAATGTGATATGCAGTGGTCATATGGTTACAATGTTTGTTTTGGATAAGAAAAACAAACAAACAAACAAACAAACAAAAGAATGAGAAACCTCTAAATGTTTTAATAGAAAATCTTTGTTAGTGTCCGGCCTAATATTTCCCTTTACTTCCTCCCTTTAACACCAAACCCAGAAGAAGAAGTTTAGTTTAAACTGGGTACATGCCGCTTAGATGAATGTGGATTAACACATTATGCTTTTCATTTCCATGAGCCATCCATATTTGTGCTCTTATTTTGGCTGCAAACCCGCTTTGCTTCCGGTAGCATTTGGCTGTTCCTGTCTAACTTGACGCAGCTGGACTGACAGGACTTGCACACCGCAGTATGATTCGCTTTAATGGCCAAAAATACACCGAACAGCGCCGCTCCACCAGCAGCCAACGAGGGCAGCAGCACACTGGGGATCCTACACCCACTTTCACTATATGGGGCAACTGAGAGAGCAGAGAGTTCACTGATGTAGCGCAAAGGCACCCAAAACAAGGGGCCAACTCTCACCTCTCCAGTTGATGATCATTATAAGGAAAGTAACAGAATTATACTAGCCTAGAAAATGTCTATACTTTTGTTAATTAATCTATTTCATCAGTTTTATTCTGGTCATATAAATGACAAATAAATTATTAAACGCAATTGTGCTTGTAAAAAGTTGGGTAAACTAAGTTCACCTGGGTTTTCCAACATGGGAGAACCTTTTATTTTACCCGATTCATTTTGTTTTATAGGCAGCCCTAAACCTCATGCTAAATTTGCTTATTCCTCTTCTGCTTAATGGTAAATTTATAATTGAACTCCCTGAGTCAGTTACATCTTAATTCTTCTTGTCTGGGCTGTTGGCTGTTGTAGAGGACATAATAAATTGCTTCAGTACAGACAAGTGCCACTGCATAATAAGCAAGCCTGCACTTGAACTCCAGAAAACACTGTTTTGTAATCTGTAATCTGCAATTTGATATCTCACCCGCTCCCCACCTGTAAACACAGTCTGTTGTATTTGCTGAAGTGCACAAACAAACCAGATGTTTACCACCGTGGGTTAAAACCAAGTATTCTACCACTGTGTTAAAACATTTCTGAAACATGCCCAGGGAAATACATGCCCGCTTTGTCTAATGAAATATATATATATATATATATATTTACATCCAACATAGTAAGTCAACATGATCAGGGCGATGTCTCAAAATGAAAATACACACACAACTAATTTAAACTTTTTATTACTATACAAAACAACATTAGAAGCTAGTTTATGTAACTGTATCTGTACTTTAGGAGAACCGGGGTTAGTCAAGACTTTTCCAGAGACTGCAGACACCCAATGTTGTGTCCACAGGCCTGGTGATATTCTTACATCTTTGCTGACCTCTTGTGGAATAACAAACAATTACTAAATAAATAAAGGACCCAATAAATAATATGCCATTAGATGCACCAAAAATAATATCAAAAATAAATATAAGCATTAATGAATTTATAAATGTAACATAAATTGATATATATGTTCTAATTAGCACCTGTATTCAGTTACCTTTTGCATTTATTCCCCTATTTATTTACTTTCCTGTTTAATCTTATTAATTATTGTATTTATATGGCACATTAGATATGGCTGCACATGTGGGCCGCTTTTGGCAAATATGGCACAGTCAGCACTGACTAATCTGGCTGTGAACCTAAAGTGGCCCACATATGATGCAGCAAATGTGGCCTGCTTATCTTAAAACATATCTGGGCCAGTTTTGGCAAATATATGGCACAGTCAGCGCTGGCTAATCAGGGTGTGAGCCTAACATGGCCCACGCACTGGTAAATATGGCCCAAATAACAACAGACATGGCCCTCTTCTGGCATAGATGCAGCACTTTTGATACTGGATGTAAGCCTGGAGAGGCCCACATATGGCATGGCAAATATGTCCCAATTATTTCACAACAGACTTGGACAACTTTTGGCAAATATTCGGTACAGTCAGCACCGGCTAATCTGGAACACTAGGACACAGTTGAAATAGCTACATAGCCCAAATATCCTTGAACAGTGTTGGGACACTTTTGCCAAGACTGCAGCACTTTTGGCACCCGGTGAACTGGATGTGGATCCGAAGAGCCCAGCGTGTGATATTAATTATGGATTGGATAGGATTTATTTAGGGTTTGTAGGGATCAGAAGTCTAATCAGGAAAATGATTGTGACAGGGTTTCCTGATGCTAAATGAAGAAACGTTACAGTCAGGGTTATTTTTACTCCACTATCTCCACTATTACTGCTTTAGACAGTAATAGTGGAGATAGGCAGGAAATACTGCATAGAGGATGACATATGCAGCAGAGGGTCTAGGTACTTGCTGTATGAGCCACTGGGGTGCCCCTATAACATACAGCATGATGCATCTCTTGTACCTTGTGGTGCAGACCTTTCTCTCTGGCAGTGGCAGTGGAGCTCATCAGTTTCCCACCTGATTCCTCCCAGTGTTTATTTGCAAAATGTAAAACTGTTAATTGCTTTACTGAGCGCCTCAATATACACTTCTCCATGAACTGTTTCTCTGAGTGGGTGATCTTCAGCATCAGTACAGCCCTGGCTCATATCAAGGGTTTTTTCCTATGCAAATATAGATGGGGGGATAGGGATGGAGTCTTTAACTCAGCGGCCTGGGTTTGCTGTCATCCTCTTTCTCTTCCTTGCCTTTTCTGTCTCTCTACCCTGTCTCTATGAAATAGCGTCACTATCAAATCTCAGTTGCAAATCCATGTAGGGGACCCTGCTTTACATTGATCTGCCAGGCCTTACAGCCTTTGTTTAATTGTAATTCCATTCTAATGATAATTCTAATGTCAGAGCAAGCTATTTGTTTTGAATAGTGTATCCTTTTGGATTTGAGTTTGACCAAGATTACTACACAGGCTGTGCTGCAAATACTGTATGTTAAGATACTGTTCAGATCAGAACATTGTGACTGTCAGGTCCAGCTGATAATGACTTGGGCAAGTGTGTGTCCCCAGTGCTTTGTGCTGTGAGAAATGGTACTAAATTAAATTCCACACCAATAAAGCCTCTGACAGCTTAACTCAAATTTGATCTTGCTGTTCTAAGTTCACAGTTTATATCCCAATGAAGATTTGTCTCAGTGATTTTCTCCAGTGTTCTGAAGGAGCTGATCTCTGTGGACTGACGTTGACTGGATAAAACAAGAAACACTTGCTTTCTGTCTATAAATTGTCACTGACAATATATGTGTCCTGATTCTTAAATTGTCTATACAATTCCAAATCGTGCATTAAATGTTCTTTGTTTTCCCATATTTACGTTCCTTTTTTATTATTATTATTATTATTATTTTATGTATTTATTTTTGTCTATTTTTTATGTGGTTGTCCGCCTGGCATGTATGATTAAAACGGTGAATTTTGTACTATGGTTCTAACTGTCTGCAATTTGTTGAAAAAAAAAAATCCAAAAATCCCGCGAAGATCTACTCTGCCTCTGATTGGCTAATGCGTGCCTTCGTTCAGCTGGTTAGGTTAGAGTTAGCCAATCAGAGGCCCGGTAGGGGCGGGTCTTCGCGGAATACAGGTAGAAACAGAAGTACCGCTGCCATTCAGGCTTTACGGTACACTGGGATTGGTCGTGTGTGTGTGTGTGTGTGTGTGTAGCTTTGTAAAGAGGGTGTGCTCATCGCCACTCCTCTCTTGTGTTCCTCGGTTACTATTTCCTGGATACAGTCATGCGTTGTTTTCATTCAGCTGTTTTCTTCATGCTGCCGAGCGGCTCGACTTCCAGGAGTGACAGTCCCATCTGTGTTTGACAGGAGTCTCCTCTAACCTGGACGGACAGCAGGGCAGTTTGGCAAGTATAACACCTCTACTACTAATATGTTCATTACTTATTAGTTAATTATGTCTGAACAATTCGCTTCAGAAAATGTTCACTTTCTTTGTTCATATTGTTTTAATACTAGAATATCCTGAATCACATTCTTCCAGTTTTAACCTAAAGCAATATTAACCATGTGTGCTGATGTAATATTACAATAATTGTAATAAAGTGGTATATTCATTCACTTCTTCATTCATTACAAAATACATGAATTAAAAGCTGCAGGGATTTTGTAGTATTGAAGTCTATTCCACTGTGTAGTGTGTTGTATGTCATCATGCTTATGGTTGTTTAGTCTTCAGTGCCTGTAACAAAGAGGTACACTTATGGAACCACAAAGACATACACTCAGCTAAAATAATGTAACACAAAATTTGATAGAATCACATCACTTCCTGACTCTCTGTAGAGGCCTATTAACAGAAACTAAGGTGCACTGGGATCTTTTTACTATTTTGAGAGTTACAAATTTCTGTGGTGGATTTGACTTAAAGGATGGTTGAGAGTCTGCAGGTTTTGGTTCCAGCTGAACAGCAGATTTATTCAGTCAAGGCACTTGCTCTCATATTTTACTAGAAATAAAACTGTACTTTTTACCGGTTGCCAGATAAAGGACCAGTGTGTATGATCAGTGGCATCTACCGGTCACACATCACATCGCTGCCATCTGTATATGACAGCCTGGGAATGAGGCTGTGAAGTGTGTAGGAGAAAACTACAGTGACAGAGAAACTCGGGGAAAAACATGAAAGGCTCAATCTACAGCCAGTGTTTGGTTTGTCCGTTCTGGGTTACTGTAGAAACATGGCGGTTCAACATGAAGGACTCCATGGAAGGCGACCCGCAGTGTCTGTAGATATAAGCGGTTTATTCTAGGGTAACAAAAACACAATGATACTTATATTAGGTGTTTATACACTAATGAAAGCATACCTATTAATATTATATTCTCTTTCTGGCAATAGATCCTCCTAAATGTTACCGGGAACCAGGACTGACTGAATTTGAATAGCTAAAATCTAAGGTTATAACAGATTTGCCACTTTTTTCAAGTCTCATAACTTACCTCCTCAGTTCAGCAACTAATTACAGTTTCTCTTCCTTTCATCCACAGGGTTTTCGACAGCTCTTCTAACTGTCTTCCTCACAGCTTTTGAAATGTGGCTCATGGTTGTTTCTGTGCCGCTGCTTCCTGCCATCATCATGGTATCCACTCGTTATCGTGTCAAAGTTGCCGCGCTGTGCCATCGAGCTCTGGCCTGGGCACTGAGGACGCTGCGAGGGAGAGTGTGTGTTAGGAGCACCCATGCGTTTGTGTTCTCCAAATGCACCCACGGCAAAGTCGACAGCGTCCTGGAGACCTTTGACCTTTATGCTGACACACACCCCTCCTTCAGCATCGGCCCACAGATTGGTCAGTATGCATTAGAATCACTTTATTTATAGAGTGCTTTAAATTACAAGACATTGGGCCTCATGCAGTGACGTTCTCTTAAATGTCTCTTGTATTTTCTCTTAAGAGAAAAATAAGAGGAGTCAACTTCAGACGACCTTAACCACTTGATCATAAATTGGAGGCTTTCAGCCAATTGTTTGTTATTAGCACAGGTAACACATAAACACTAGATATAATTAAAACTTTGCATCACAGAAATGTTCACTGTCTGTGTGTCACATATTTTCTTTGCTATAGACATCTTACATCTTACTGCGTATCTATCAGCCATAAGTCCCTCACATTGTATTAACAATACAGCACTCAAGGTTGTTGTTGTTTTTTTTTTTTTTACCATTACTGTATTCTGCTCTCAGGTGATTGGATTGAAAAACATTAGCTTTGGAAACTGGTGCTTTTGAAATTGTCCACAGTGAAAAAGAAAAATCAGTGTCCAGGTCAATAAATGGTCGCAGACATGAAAAGGATATGATGATGAAAAGTAATTATCATGTGTATGTGTTTGCATTTATGGCACAACAGCATCAAGGACTGAAAATGACATCTATACTCTTCTGGTCAAAGCTGATGAATCTGATGTCATCTGTCCTATAGGTGAGGCATTGGATGAAGTGGTGAGGCGTGTGCGTCCCTCCCGGGTGTTGGAGCTGGGGATGCACTGTGGCTACAGTTCTGTCCGCCTGCTGCGTCTGCTGCCCCCTGCTGGCAGACTGATCACAGTGGAGCTGGACCCACTCATAGCAGATCTTGGGGAGGAAATCATACTTGTAGCTGGTTTCAAACACTCACAGGTACAGCCAGGAAGGATTAGCTTTTACTACATTCAGATAAAAGTATAATAAAAGTGGCAAACCTACCACAGGAAAGTAACTCCATTTCCCTGTGCTCTTCTCATTCGTTTCAGTTCCAGGTGTTGACATCTAGCTCTGCTGAAGCCATCCCAACATTGCGTTCATTCCTTGAGCCTGATCGAGGGACCAGTGAGGGGTTCAATCTGGTGCTGATGGACCATGACCCCAGTCTGTACCTTCCAGACCTGCTGGCTCTGGAGAGAGAGGAGCTCCTTAGCCCCTCCGGCTGCTCTGTCCTTCTGATCTACAGGAACCAGAGACCTGAAGATCTTACAGAGATCCTGGGTCACATCAGAGCGAAGCCCGACTGCTACTGCATCACATCAGAGCTTCAGTTTATGATGGAGATCTTCTACCAAAAGGAAAGCACGAGGGTAGATAGGTGACGGGAAAATCTAAAGATGTGGGTGTTTGCTTTCAGTCTGTGTGGACTATACCAAGCAGTAGTGTTAAATACTTCATTGTCTCTAGTATTACTTATGGGTCAAAGGATTGGAGGATTAAAAAATATGTGCTGAATAAATGATTTTCTATTATTTGTCAAACTACTTTTTTCCGTGTATGACTCTAGGGAAGAAACAACACAGTTTTTAATCTTTGATTCAAAATTATTATTACTAGTAATGAAACATGAGAACCGTATTACAATATGGTATGTAAAACAATATTCTTGCTATGAATGACTCTGACAGTACTGCTGGAAATATTTTAGGGCAGAAAAGGAAAATATGAGTTTGTGCATATTTAATGTTTTCTGCAGCTTTATCATATTAAGCATCCACATGACAAACAAAAACAATGATTACAGTAGCAGTTACCAAATACTGCTTACCTTTGTCATACAATCACAACGCTGCTCACAACAAAAGAAACAAAGAAAAAATTACTAGATGTAGAGCACATAGTAACCACTTGATGGTGCTCTCTACTTAAAAAAAATGTAACTGAGGCATGGAGCTGGTTTTGACAAAGCATTCCTTTAAAGGGAAATGCCACCCATTTTATTATTATTATTCCTGTTGTGATATTTGCTTTCACACTTCTTTTTATTTACTTTCAGATTTACTTTCAATGTAAATGTTTAACACAAATAAAGTATTTTAGGAGAAACTGCTCCCAGTAACCCGCCTCCCCTCCCTTCCCCTCTTCCCCCCTTCCCCCGTTTTCAGCATTCTTGCCCTACCTGCCATAATTTAGAGTCAGTGTCCCAGCAAGCACTGCATCTTTAATGAGGAGAGTCAGTGTTGTCTTTTGGGCAGAACTCAGATGGAGTTGTCCAAATTTCCCTCTAATGGCACTGCAGAGGCTTTCAAAGCAGCTGGAAAGCCATTACATGGTTTGAAGACAATTTACTGCAGAATTTAAATAAATAATATATGTGTGCAAAAACACTATTTAATTAAATGCAATATTTCGAGGAACCCAGTGGTGGGTCTAGACTCAAGGTGGCAATTGTTACACAATAGCGAGGTGAATTCTGTAATAACCAAAATTATATAAAGTTAGAGAGAACACTGCCATAAAAGAGAGATGGATAGAAAAAGAGAGTGAGGGGAAGTGGTGGAAACTGTCAGCTAATATAAATTTGAGATGGAGGTGAGGTAGTGCAAGGTAAGGAATAAGAACTTTGTAAATCCACCCAGTTTAACTGTTCACTGTGAATGTCTCCACAGAGCAAAACAGGTAATGGAGCTGGCAAAATTTGATGGGCTGCATGAATACTTTATAATCTCATACATGGATCATTAGTCGCACTGCGGGGGAAGTGGCGATTGCATTTGCTGAAAATAGGAAATAACATAAGAAAGTAGACTACAGGCGTGTGTGGGTTATTGTCTGCTCCCCAACTGGTGATACTACTGTTACTGAGAACTGCAGACGCATAAACAGCCAACTGATTAGTATCCAAAGTTAGTCTCATAGTAATCAGTATCACAGTATAACTACTTTAACTCTAAATGAAGATGTGTGTCATTTGGAAAAAGGTGACGCCCACTCTAAGGCAGGGATTGTGTGCATGGAAGTCAAGGCACTGAATATTATGAAAGCTGATTAGCAATCTGGAGCGTTTCTCTTAGAAAATAGCAACATTCAGGGTGGGTGTAATCATCTGTGAGGATTTCTTTCATCTGTTAAAAAGGAGTTTGTGTTTTGGGATCGAAAGATTCAAGTCTTTGGATTCTGTTTTCTAGCAGAGTTTGTTGTCTTTGTAAATATGTGTTGCAAGTTTCTGAACCAGCATATGTATACTAGTTTTGATTATGAGCTGATATTCCAATTTAAAGTAAAGAAAAACAGCAGAATTCAAATGACAGCAATTTAACTAAAAGGTGAATGTGGCTGATTCCTTACTGGTCACATATTGGTGGACACATGTATTTTGGGTTTCTGTCAACCTGTCATGCTGTTTTCATGTTGATGTTTACATATTTTATACATAGTTTGCCTTCGACAGACTGTAATGCAGTGAGAGATAATGCCTCTTTGATGGTAGCAGGCATTTTAGATACACTGGAAAAATGACAATCATTTTAGCTGTACCCAGCATGTCCCCAAATAGCCAGTGTGTGATGTGTAATTACACAAAGCAGACCAACTTTAATGATTGCTCATTAGCTTCCACCACCATCTCAGCCCAGATAGCCTCCCAACTTCCCCACAACACAAGCGTTAGAGCCAAGACGTGGTCAATTTCTCAGCTGTCAGATGTGATTTAACATTTCCTTGCCCTCCTTTCAGAGTGCCACTAGTCTATACACAATGATGTACAAGCAAATGTAAACACCATGCTGTATGAGCACCCCAACCTTCGCCCCTTCCTCCAAGTTCCCCCCAAAAAGTCCTATTTTAATGGGGTTCAATTTCCGGGTTCCTCCTTCGTCAGGCTATAAACTGCTCTCTGTGCCATGAAGGCTAGAGAGCTGATGTAAACACAGCTTTCAATTATAAATCAAACTCTAAAAGAGCCACACTCCACTGCCCTCCGGCTCTCTGCACAAAGACTCAGCCTTCATACCCAAACACCCTACATCGCACTGCTGGGAACTTATGGCCAGCTACTTACCAGGATAAAGTCACTGAGACCTCTTCAGTGGTCTTGAGTGTCAAAGTTATGCAGAGAATGTTACGCTCATCTTTTGTATATGTTGGCTGCTGTATTATCTCTTATTCTATACTACACTTAAAGCTGTGGTAAGCAGGCAAAAAATCCATTATAACCTTTCAGCATATTGTAATTCAATTGGTCTGAGAGAACACTAGACTTCTGCTCTGCTTTCAGGCTTTAGAAAATTTAGCCCATAATGGGAGACTTAAGCCAATCACAGGTCAGTAAGATAGTTGATAGTTCATTGATTTATTGATGTCTCATGTCAGTATTTGACGACCTGGGAATGAGACTCAACAACTTCTATCTTTCTCCAGAATTGCTTACTGTACCTCTAAAGCAGAAGGTTTGACAGTGTGGGCAGTTGAGCTAGATTTGTGTTGATTTAAACAATTTCATCAAACATACATTGGGTTATTCTGTATATCAACTTATTAGAATTTCATGCAAAATACAGCACATTTTTACTTCTGAATCAATACCTCCAACCTGAATATGGTGATACATTGTAATTGCTGTCGTTTTTTGATCCAACCGCTCTATGAACAGAGTGATGTTGTTTGTCAGTTCCTTTCAAAATGATGCAACTAAACCTTACAGAAATTATTCATCTGACTATTTTCTGATCAAAAATCACCTGCTTATGGTTAAATGAGGTTAGGTAAAGATCATGGTTTGGAATTCAAAAAATACTTCAGTATAGTTATCCCAATAACAAATGACAGTGAGGTGCAGTTGAAAGCTCTGGACGATGGCTAGTAAGTGGTCCTTTTCTTTTGGTTTTTGGTCATTGGAGACCAGCAGAAACAAGCTGTAATCACAACATTGACATATTATATTGAGATTATAAGCAAACTGTTTTTTTCCCCCAGCAGATAAGGAGCAACATTACCTTTCATTTGGAGTTGTGTTCACTGTCCTTTTAGCTCTGTTTCGGTCTCCACCAACTCCTGAGGAAATTGTCTGGCTCTTTATCTGCTAAATGCTCCACTATGTTCACACGCTAACTTTTTATGTCTGCCATTTGGTGCAGTGCATTTAGTGTACAGTGGGGAAAAAGCTATTTTACTGAAAACAACTTCCTGCTATTGCTTGAAGCGATGCTGATGAAGCAAAACAGTAAAGCAGAGGGCCGGAAAAACAAACAAACTAGTACAAAGACGCTGAAATGCTCCATAAAGCTGAGGGGAACTGCAGGGTCATGTTATAATTATCTGTGGGTTTCCATGACGAGCGACACCTTTCACATCAAATAAATATGGGATCCATTGTTAATATAAAAATATTGATTATAGCCACGTTAAGGATAGGAAACTATCATAGTCATAGCTGTTGGTGGAGATGAGATATAAACAGCAGTTTCCTGTATCATAGCAATAGCACAATACTTTCATGCTTGCTCCTGAAAAACAAGAGTCATTAGGGCCATTCAGGCATTATAGAACCAACTGATGCTGTCGTTTTATGAGGACGGTCTCCACGGGATACACTTCATGAAGTCATTTAAATTTCGAAAACCTTTCCAAAACTATTATTGTTTATTTGGTACGGTTGAATTGGCCCGCATCTGCATCAACAATCCTCTATCAGTTATGAAAATTTGATGATGGTGTAAATCGTTTTCTTTTTACATCAGTAGCATAAACACTTGTTTACACCAAAGCCATTTAAAATGCACACCATGTTTCTTCTCAGGCAGTGGAGGAACAAAGCCTTCCCCTCTGTGTCTGGTTCATCAACTGGAGTGGGCAGAGCAAAAGGAGAAAGGAGACTCATGATGGCCTCTCCAGAGACTGAGAGACTTCTATATTTGGTACACTGATAGCCTGCAACCCCATCACACACACCACCACACACACATGCACACAGAGCACACTTGATAATGTTCACCTCAAGGTTGTGTAATGATGCTGTGTCCTCACATCTGACTACTGTCACTTCATAATCTTGTTCCCCCAACATGTCATCTTTTCAGGGGTGAGGACACAACTTTATTTTTAGAATGTCAGCTGTATACTTTTGAGATATTAGAGTTGTTTAGAAGAAATTCAATAGGTTTGGAGTTTGTCACAGGTTTGTACAGTATGTATCTGCAATCATATGCTTATGTGTCTATATATCTTTTTATTTATGTACCTATCGTTTTACCTGCAGAGACATTTTAAATGCAACTATATTTATTAAGTTCACTTGATATAAAATATATTGTGCTAATGGATGCTTTCACATATTCTGTGCCTACCACCTCCTTTCATTCACACTTTTTCAAACACAGTTTCAAATTATCAATGGTGATATGTTTACAATGTCTCTGGTTAACAAGGCTACTGGCAAGAGATTCTTTGCAGTGCCAACATGCTTAATTAATGCTAAAGCTGATTAGATAAATAGCATAACGGTTTACAAATAGTATTGCTGTGAGATAGATCC